CATAACACACCTTGACAGAACAGACCATGTCATGACAAAACATCACAGAGCACGTCATAGCACGGCAGCAGAGCATAACCTCATGCCCGTGATAATAAACACTAGGGGATAATAAAGTTCGGGGTTCAGGGAGAGATAATAAAAGTAGCCCAGCAGACCTCAGCATAATCTCGAAGTAAGAGATGATCAAGAGGAGACCAAGCCGAGCACGTTTTGAGACATCCTTGGCGTTTAGTTTTCATAGAAATATCCTCAACAATGGCTTATCTCTCATGAAAACTGTTTTTTTGTAAGTGCTCGTGTAGGGTAGCTCATGTGCCTCAATTTCCATGGATAATCAACCCCAGAGATAAAAAAGTTCAGGCGAGCGTGGGGACAGAGAGAAATATAAAAGAAGAAGAATACAGTAGAAGAATAATAAGAAAGAAGAAGAAGAGGATAATAAGAAGAGGACGAAGAAAGGAAAAATCCAAAGTTCCAAATCTATCAATTTTAATTTACAAACGCTTTATGAAAATTGATGTTTTAAGTGCTCGTGTAGGGTAGCTCATGTGCTTCATTTTCCATGGATAATCAACCCCAGGGATAAAAAAGTTCAGGCGAGCGTGAGGACAGATAGAAATATAAAAGAAGAAGAGGAAAGTAGAATAATAATAAGAACATTGCTCGTTTCGTTTGAGTCTGCCTCCCAAAATTATTGGTTTCGCTTGACACATCCTGAAAAAGTGTGATCGCTTCGCTTGATGTTGCTATATCAACATCGCTTGATGTTGCTATCTCAACATAGCGTTTCGAGGTGATAATGAAGTTCGGCCTCAGCGCTCGCCGCCCAATTTGAATTTTGTATAGGGCGACGATAATCAACTCTAAACACTGAAGGGGGGGGTCCCTTTATTATCATCGGCATGCGGTTAGCGACGTCGAACACGACAGAACTCAAGAGGACACACCATAACATGACAGACCACAAAACGAGCATGAACGAATATGATATAACAGAGCATTGCAACGTCATGACACGATGGGGCAACACATCACATCACATCACATAACAGAGCAAATCATGACCGAGCAGAAGACCACAAATCACAACATAGCATAACTGCGCCCAACTCAGCATAACACACCATGACGAAACATATAATAGCATGAAACAGCATCACAGAACATGTCATAACACGACAGCAGCTCATAGCGACGACAAACACGACGAACGCGACGAGACCATATCATTGAGCGGACTCAGAGCATAACGACACGTACTAGCAGAGCATACAATAATAGACTATAAAAAACCGGATGATCAACAAACATACTAACACGGAACATACCTGTGCAGAACATGGAATACCATGAGACACACATAACGCCAGCATGCCATAACATAACCAAGCATAACATATCACACCGTGACAAACTATGGCATATCAGATCGTGACCGCATCACAGAACATCTCATGCCACGGCAGCAAAGCATAGCGAACCATACTAGCATACCATAGTATGTGTGTACCTTACTGAGCCGAACTGCCAACATCATCGCGAACACATCACACTACACCATACATTGACATAACATACCGTGCCGTAACGAGCAGATCACACCATACCATCTCAAATCATATGGTGACTGATGGTCATCACATAACATAGTCAACTTGAAGACAAACAGATGAGTGAAGAGGAATATTATAACACGCGACGCATCTAACGCCACAAGCGTCACGCCGTCACGCCGAGAACAACACAAACATAACATGAACAACGTGACTACATGGAACACAATTGAACCGTTTTTGAATCCAGAAACGGCAATTGTGGACCAATTCGGCGACCGCGCGCCGTCGGGAACAAATGCGTGAGGCTTCGGTGGGGATAACTCGAAGCATAATACGTTTTGGTGTTTTTACGGGGCGGCTACGGAGCGAGGGCTGACGCCCAACTTCGAGAATGTAAACAACGAAACCATGATTCTCGTTTTCGGCAAAAGTCTCCTAGAGAGAACCCCACCATACTGTAATATGGGCGAATGTGCCCCTCACTCCCTCTCTCGCCGTGGCATCAGGATTCAGCCCACCAAGCAGTAAAGTATGTTGGGATCCAGCTCCCTGCGGACCTCAGCATTGCCCCTGAAACCCTCCAGAGTTGGCAGGGCCTAAGAGGCCCGCAAGACTGTCCAGAAAATTGTGCACAAAGACGTGGGCTTTGAACTATGCAAAGGTCACTGTTTCCTCGCAACTCTTTCACAACTGATCAGTGTGGCCCAAACTCGGCAAGGGGACGGAGCGGCGCCTCGAGGCAGCTCACTTTCACACTTTCAAGGCAGCTTTGAAGCTCACGTGGGATGCAGACACAATGACGCAGCATCCAGCATACGATGTCTAGATTGCTTCTGAGGTTTCCCCCCATGCGATTGTCAGCCTTAAGAGACTATGACCCTTGGGACGGCTGATGGAGACAGCACCGCAGGTGCTCACCAGATTGCTTGAAGCTCCTTTTCACATGCCTGGCAGCTGGACCCATGGCTAGGTGATGATGTTGGACCCCCCTCTGGAGGAATACCCAACGGGAGATGTTCGGTGGTGGCTAAGAAAAGCCAGGGAGAATCCTAGAAACTCGTTCCGTCTACGCACCCTAGCAGCAAAGCCTTCCCGAAGACTTTCGGATCAGCAGCGACATCTTCAGTGTCAAGACGGATTCCGAAACCTGTGTTCCAAGAAAGGCCTTCCAGTTCCGTCCCACCACAAGCACACCCAATGAGATACCTAGCACATTTGTTACGACTCATCGTTTGTCACTGCCAGTCCTGGAACACTCACTGATCACAAGACAAGCGCTCACCCTCGCTTGAACTAGGCTGCCATTTTTGCTCCTGGGCCAGTCTCTTGGCTGCGGGAGAGACTTTGGATCACGGATCCAACTGCTCCGCCATCTTCGGAATGGGTCGAAGTGTTGTTAAACAGGCTGACCAAGAAGCTGAAGCCCTTACAATGTCGGCCATCAAGTTGTGAGATGAAGCAAGTGTTCAGTGCGCCAAAGAACAATCACAAAACAAATAGATATGCCGGTTCTGCCGAAGAATCGCCGACTATGATGATTGGGCCAAGTATTAAAGGACTCCAGGTGCCCCCTGTAAGCAAGTTCTCCCCAAGTCAGTTCCAAACTGCATTCGAAGGTGACGGAGAGCAGGTTAGTATAGCTGCTCCTGCTCTGATCGCTGAACGCACTACATGCGTCCTGGAGATTCGTAATATAAATCCTTTCCTAACTGCTTCAGTTGTCAATCCAGAACTTGATCCGAGCAAAAGGCTCACGCGTCTTCTAAACCTGTTTGTGTCTCATCGTGTCCGTGCTGTCCTCGCTCTCTCCTACAGTCCCTTGGCGGCAGCTGATGGACAGCGACAGTGATGTCAACGGCACGCTACGCACAACTAAACATACATGGGGTCTCCCTTGGATGCGCGGACGACACACGAAATCCCTCAACAATGCCAACCTTGCCCTGAGGTCGTCTCTGAGCTGGGCGGTTGCTTGTGCGGTTTCGGACTCGAGCTTTTCGTTTAAGTTCTCAAGGGCACCTTCAGACTGATCCAACTTGGCGTCACCAGACACCCACCACCTTCTCCAAATGAGTGGGAAAGCCAATGCAGGCAGGTACCTCTGTTTCTCTTCCACCCAGCGAATCGGCCATGCCGTCGATCATTGTCCTGATTTTTGGAGGCAATGCGGGTCAGAGCTGCCAGAGATTACAGCAGCAGGAGCCTCGACGAGCAGCTGACAGTCAGCGTGCATGTGAGCATCAGTAGCCTCGATGATGTTGCAGGGAATGCTGGAAGTCCGATATCGAGCCCTGGTGCGGCTCCCCTCCTGGCCCCGTTGGACCCGTACCAAGACCGCGTCCCGAGGGACAGCACCACGGAGCCGTGCCATCGAGGCGAACCCCTTCCTTTCCTCCGCCCCCTTCATGTTCCTGCTCGCGCATGTCCTCTGCATCTGCATGCAAGTCCATGCGCAGTGACAGTTATCGTCCCCGTAGTCGTTTGCGAGGGAGGGAGGGAGGTGGGAGGGAGGAGGGCGAGAGGGGCAGAGCAAGCTAGGTGCGCCAGCGCCGTAACTCACATCCTGCCCCTCCCACCCACGCCTTCCCATTGCGCTGACTTGTCCTCCACCCGCCCACGAACGTCATAGCGCACCTGGAACCCACAAGCGGACCCCATCGTGTTGCGCGCAATAAGACGAATGGACCTATTGGAGGAGGAGGAGGAGGAGGAGGTGGCGGTTGAGCAAAAGGATGAGTAGGATGAGGAGGAGGAGGAGGAGGACAAAGGAGGAGGACGAGGACGGAGGAGACGAGGAAGAGCAGCACCATAAACAGGAGAAGCGGGAGGATCAGGAGGACCAAAGAAAGGACGGTGGCGACAATGACGAGGAAGCGCTCTGACCCAGAAGTGGCCCGCGTTGGGGCGAGAGCACCATTCTGAACGATGGGAGCAAAGCGCCGATCATGAAATGAGGCCAGCGCTGCAGAAAGAAAATTTTGAAACACCGACAGCGTTTCGATTGCAAACGCATAAGTATGAACGACAAAATTTGGGAATCAAACACCATACACGGAGCGGGAGGGACACTTCTAGGACACAGTCGGGGGAGAGAGGAGAGCAGTAAGAGCAGTATTCATATATTGAATAATCGTGGATGGAGGGGGTGAGGGTGGCACAGAGATGGTAGTGCTGCAAGTTGCGCGCGGACAGCCCCCAACGTGGTCCTGGCTGGCCTCAAAAAGCCTCCGGGGCGGTCCCAACTCCCCAACCCAGGGGCGCGGAGGTGCCGCAAAAGCGGCAACAGGGTGTTGAGACCGCCTTGGACTATTCAGGCGGTCTGTTTAGGCCACCTGGGACAAACCATGAGGGCTTCCTCCGCGCAGCCCGAAACCTTACCAGGCAAGGCAGGAGAGGAGGAGGAGACGGAGTAGGAGACGGAGGAGGGAGGGAGGAGGGCACGATCCCCTCGCGGCTGCCCATCCTCCCCTTGAAGTTCCTGTTGGTGGTCGCGACGCCAACCTCGCCCGCGCTTATCGTGCCCGCGCCCAGGCCCGCGCAGGCGCCGCAGCCCGGGGGCAGCACCTTGGCGCCGGCGTCGAGCAGGACCTGCCAGTCGCCAGTCAGCTCGCTCTGCGCCTGGGAGAATCCAAAAGTTCGGGGAGCCGATGGTACGGCTTCGGGTCGAGCGCTAGCATCGGACGAAGGCCAACATACTAGTGCTATCTGTAGCCCTTGGAAGCGCACGTCCGAACCGACAGTATGTCGTTCCCCAGGCGGTGTGACCAGAAAGCGCCCGCCACCGAGCAGATGCTGTCAGATGTCTGAGCGTGCGCGTCGCCCCGAAAAGGCCGACCACAGAGCACGAGTGTGTTTGGGGGATACTGCTGACAGCCGCCCCGGGTGGTTCTGCCTGGCCTCAAGAAGCCCCCCGATCAGTCTGGGGCGGTCTCAACATCCTGGCGCCGCCTCGAGCAGCGCCTGTGGGGCGCTCCGCGCCACAAGGTTGGGGTGTTGAGATCGCGACAGGCTTCTCGGCCAGCCGGGACTACCTGGGGGGGCTGTCTGCGCGCAGCCCGAAACCTTACCAAAACGCGAGGGGGAATCCGTCAGCGTGTCGCTGCTGGAGGGACACCAGGCCTTCGAACCAAAACAGAAGAGTCAGATGCTGACACGGGCTTCGAACAGCGGCGTGTCATTGATACTCAGTTCCCCCCCGCAGAAAGCTACATAAACATAAACTTATTGACGCCCGCACGGATTTCTTGTATCGACGATGGACCCCGCTGGCGGGAGCGTTCCGCACGACAGGGAAGGGTCCCAGCGCCGATCCCAAAAATCCACGCCGACCGCCGAACATTTCTATGTTTATGCAATGTTTTTTGTTCCTGGAGGCCTGTACCTCGCTGCTCGCGGCGGCGACGTAGAAATCCACCCAAGGCGCCACCTTCCGGCCTCTCGGGGTGGACGGGACTGAAGGGTATCCGCAAGGGGGTGTCAGCTCAAGGGGAGGCAGTTCGACCTGGAATCGGCGATGCATCGCCGCGAGGTCGGCGATTGGCCCCCGATAGTTAATGCGCACGCTCCCTAACGGGGGGCGGGGGGTTATCGAGCCCCTTATCGGCAATCAGTGGGCGATGTGTCGATGCGTCCCCCCTGGGCCATCCCCCCGGACGTTGCCCCTGAAGGGGGTCGGTGGGGGGATAGCAAAGGTCACTGGCGCCTCCCAGCGACAGGGAACCAGCCACGTGCAGAGAAAAGTGTTCAGCGGCGGAGCCGAAACCAGCTGCATGCGGCAAATGTCGTAACTCCCCCCCGCCCACCTTCGGGCGGCGCACCCAAGAAAGGAAAGCAGAGGGGGCGGGTCTGGTCAGAAGGCTTTAAAATATCTGCTGCAATCTGCGAAACGTTCGAAAGTTTCTCCGGAACCGCAACATGGCCCAGAGGGCTTCTGAGGAGCCCCGCCGCCTTCTGAGAAGGCGTGCCCACTCTCAGTTCACCTCCGGGCGCGCCGCCGCACATGTCTCGAGGACGTCCACCTCGACAGCAAAGGGGAAAACCGGCCGAACCGACAACAAAACCGAGACCAACCGAAACCGACAACAGGCCGCAAGCAACCCTGAAAGGCGTGGCGGCGCGGCAACGACAACAACCGACCGAACATATCGAACGAACGCAACCGACTGTGACGCAGTCCCAACAGACGAATCACGGCCGACCCCCGCTTGCCAAGGTGCAAAGGCGTGTGAGATGATCTGCTGTCCCCCTCCCCCTTCCCACCCCGCTGGGGTCAGCAATCCATTTGGAGGGGGGGGGCCAGAGGGGGGTCTTCGAGCTCACCAACCCCCCCTCAAGGCTTCAGGAGCCCCATTTCACACTCGGCGGCCTCCAAGATGCCTATGGATCGATCTTCGCTTGCTCGAGCAGGGTTCCAACACGCACAGGAACGAGAATCGTCAAACTCGAAAACGTATACATGGAACATGATGATTCGCATGTTTGGTCACAACAGCGTCCACGACGGCTCCAGAGGTCCCCATGATCGTTCCAATTCGGCCCAAGACGCCCCCTACAAAGCCCCGGGCGGCCTCAGAGGGCCCCAAGACGGCCCAAAGGGTGTTCCCCCCCCGAGGATACAAGGGCTGGCCCCTCCCAGGTGCCATACAACATTGGCCTGATGCCACCTCATGCCCACGTCGGCGCCGCCTGGCGAACAAGAAAAACAGACACCACTCTTCCGGCGTGAGCGCGTCCAGGCACGCATGGACCATGTCGACTGAGCGCCGCCACATGGCGACGCCAATGGCCGCCTGCGCCCTGCGCAGCAACGCCTGGTGGCAGCGCAGCCCGCTGCGCTGCGCAGCCCGCGGCGCCTGCGTCTAGAGCACCAGCTGCGCCTCCGGGTGGGCGCGGCCGTAGGCGGACCACACCATGGGCATGTACTGGATGCCCGCCGCGGCCAGCTCCAGGCGGTGGCCGCTGTACTCGCCAAGCTTGCGCTCGTGCGTGGCGTTGCAACAGTCCTCGCCAGCGCCTTGTGCCTCCGGGCTGCGCGCGCCAACATCTTGGCTTCGCCAAGGGCTATGAAGGGACGCGTGGATATATTTTCCTTTTCAAATTTCATTTTAGTGGTGTCGTGCCGAACAACGACAGATCCTATTGAACCGATCTGCTCAACAAAAAACAAACGCGCGCAAAATCCACTGCGGATGCCCTCAGAGGAAAACGAACAATGGAATGCCGCATAAGCGGCGCCTGCGTTCCGCCCGCAGTCCAACTGCAGACAAAACCACAAATGATCAGCCCACCGGAAAGTTCACGAGCATTGCGGCGGGGGCGGTCATACATCGAGCCACGGCAGCGGAACTATAGCCGTCTGATGGAGCTCAGCCAGGGGCTACAAACATACAACCGCAAACTGGAAGCAACAAAAAACAAGAGCAGTGCGAAAGAAGGTCACTGCGAAACCAGACAGATGTCTCCAGGAAGGCGAATGTCTGCCAACGCGCCGCTTGCAATTGTTAATCATACTGGCCCGCGGTGAACCCCGACGGCAACGCCCAGACGCCAACAATAACACCTAGACGCCCAGTGAAGTCATTGACGCGTTGCTCAAATCCTCGCGAGCCAAATCATGAACAACCACGCGGCGAGTCGCCCTGATCAAGGCCGGGTAATCGGGCAAGCGGCGAAAATAGCGAGCCGCATCCGTATTCGCGGATAATGAGGTGCAGGAAGCGGAGCAAAGGAGAGGAGGGCGGAAAATTAAAATCCTAATGAACACGGTGAAGCGAGGGAGTATGGTGATAGGAAAGACTGGAAACGTGCAAGGGCATGAGCAGGTAGGAACACGGAAGAGGAGCTTGGGGGAGGTAGGAAGAAGCGCAAGAAGCCTGAGGGAGGCAAAAGGCGCACCAATGATCCGTGCGGAACGCGCGTGAAGCGCGCGCCCTCACCAGCGCGGGTGTAGGAAAAGGTGGGAATATCAAGGGGCAGGAGGAAATATGAGGAAATAGGAGGGGCAAGAACATGCAGAAGAAAGCATTTGCAGACTCGAACCCCAAGCAAGTTGCGCTAAGCATGAAAGCGAAGTGAAGCAGCATGCAACGCAAGAAAAAAACGAGGACAACCGTTACATTAAGGAAAAGAAAAGGGCGCAGGAGTAATTAATCGGAAGATGCACAGGAACGGGGAAGGAGCAGAAAAAGGAGGAGGCCACAGAAGAGGGACGAGGAGGAGGGGGAGGACAAGGAAGGGAAAGATAAAGGATAGAAAAGAAAAAAACACGCTGACGACGACGGGCATCAATCATCGAGGATCTCGAGTCGTTCGCTTTAGGTGCCTGCGGGACGCCCCATCAACGTCGTCATATCGGTGCCGCCGCGGCGCTCTCTTAGGGCAATTATGGCTGCCTTTGGCGGCTGTCTTGGAGCCCCTTGGGGCCCTCTTCGGGTCGTTTCGGGGATCTCCTGGGCCCCATCTTGGAAGCCTCGGGGGTCCTCCTGGGGCCATCTTGCAGCCGTCGGTCAAAGAAGTGGGGCCCTAGCAACGCCCCATTCCTTCTCGAGCCCCCCAGTCGCCAAATGCGGCCCTCTTGCGACGCCCTTGAAGCGTTGTGGGCCGCTCTCTGGCGATCTTGGAGCCGACTTGGGCCCTGATGGCCCCCTCTCAAAGCAAGTTCAAACCGACTCGCAGCCATCTCGAGGCCTCTAGAAACGACGGAGAGCAAAAAGGCGAGAAAGAAAAAATGAAGCGAACAGTGATTGTAAAGGAACTTAACCTGTTGGAGGCCTCCTTCAAGAGCTCGAAAGACAATTGCGGGCTGTCACGAAGCGGTCTTGAGGGGGCTTGGAGGCACATTGGAAGCAAAATTGTACCATCTGCAAGTATATGGAGCGATCTCGGAATCCTTCTTGGGTTGCCTGCGGTTCCTTTGGAGCCATCTTCGGCCATTTCGGGCGCTCCACCGCCCCGCGGTCACTCTCTGTCCACGCCCGGGGACGAGAGGGCAGGGGGGGGGGGCCCGTCCCTGCCAGGGAGAAACGCGCGGATAAGCTAGCCCGTTAAACCACCACCCACGCTCTGCATGGCTGGTGGGATTTTTCCACGGCCGCCTGGGAATACTACCCCGGATTCTCGAGTGAATTCTGCCCGGATTTTTCCAAATCCAAATGTGAATTTGCCCCGGAAGCCGCGTGAATTTTTCCGGGTGTCCTCCGGATTTTTCCGCGCGCGTTTTTTCGATGCGCGCGCCCAAGGAAAAATCCACCAAGAATTCGGAGAGGTATTCAAAACGAGTTTTTGTTTTTCTCCCCGAAGTTTGCACTAGGCCGCGCGCGGAGCCTGGAAGGAGGGAGGGGGGGGGAGAAGTCACAGGGAGTGGAGGGGCACGCCGCAGGAGAGGGCCGGAGGGAGACAGGAATCCCAGCACCCCTTTAAGCGTGAGCGGCGTGACGAAGTAATTCATCCAAGCCCACTCTTCCCCTTCATGGACACGGTTCCCCATTTCCCCGCCCAATCCTTCATGCGCGGGAAGGTAGCCGCGGGTCGTTGGAGCGCCCAATACGGCCCAAAATGTATCCGAGATGGCTGCAAGGAGCCCAGATACGCCTCCAATATCGCTCAATGCATCCCAGGACGATTCCGAAGAGCCTCCAACATGCCTCTGAGAGTCGTCAAGACCGCTTCAAGACGGCCCCGCGTGCCCTTCGAGCTCTCCAAGGAGGCCTCCAAGACAAAAAAGTGAAAACCATTGCGTGCTATGTGTTATGTCTCGTCGCCTTTTCGTTTTCCATGGGCTCTTGAGGCCTCAAGATGGCCGCGCTGGCCTGAGATGGCCCTCCAGAAGAACCCGACAGGCCCCAAGACGGCGCCGAGAGCGCTCAAGAGCAGCCGAAGAACGCCCCAAGAGAGCGCCAAGAGGCGACGTGGGCGGCTCCAGAGAGGGGGCGCTGCAAGGACCCCCCCCCGTACTCTTTGACTGACGGCGTTTCCAAGATGGCCCCGAGAGGGCCCCCAAGGCCTCCAAGACGGGCCCACGAGACCCCGAAGAGGATCCCAAGGAGGCCCGAAACAGCCTCAAGAGGACCCCGTAGGCTCTCCCAAAATGGCTCCAAATTAGCTCCACAATGGCCCACAAATCACCCCAAGGGGCTTCTAACAAGAGCCGTGTGCGAAAAACAAACAAAATCCTCCATGATTGATTCTGGCCGTCGTCGTGACTTTTTCTCTCCCATCCTTCCTTTTCCTACTCCTCGTCCTCATCCCGCCCCTCCTCCGTTTCCTCGTCATCCTCCTCCTTGTCCTCCTTCCCCGCTGCTGTTAATCCTCCGATTCCTCCTGCGCCGTCCTCACGTTTCTAACGTAAACAGCGTCGCCCTCTTGGTTGAGCACCATGCTGGCACACGTTTCTGATCAACGCAATTTGCCTGGGCACCGTCTCTGGAACTGCTTCGTCCTGAGTGTTCTTACCCCCATGTCCTCCTACCTCCCCCATGCTCCCCCCACCTCCCCATCTGGCACATTCCTGCATCCTCGCTTACGAAAGGATGCGGCGCACTGGTGTTCTGCGCGGATCACCAATGCGGTTGCTACCTCCCCCTGGCTCCTCGTAACCCCCCCCCCCCCCCCCCCCCTCAGGTCCCTCATCATCCTTCCGACCTTCTCATGCTCTAGCATGTTGCTGTTTCCTCCAGCACGCGTCCATCCTTCTGCTGTTCCTCTTCTTTCGTTACTACTGGTCCTTCGCCACCATATGTGTTCCTTCGCTTCCTCCACCTCCTCTTCCTCCTCCCGCACAGAACCAATGAAAACGCATTCGGTTCGCTGCGGCGCCGCGTGCTGCTACACATGCTGATCGAGGCAACTCGCCTGGTGATTGCTTTTGCCTCGGCTGTCGGAAATACGCGAGGCGTCGGAAATGAAGGCGAAAAGGCGGATGAACAGTAGAATCCCGCGGACCACGGCCGAAACGCGTCAGAACATATGCGAGGAGACAGGTCTGCAAGTTGTTTTGGACCCCTACAAAGCCTGTCTTGGGACCCTAGGGCCTGCTTGCAATCCTTCTCGGGACCTGCTGGGCTCTCCTCGAGCTCACTTGCAGCTTTCCCGGCGCCCTGTTGGACCCTGCCGCAGGCCCTGACAAAAGAAGGTGACAGCGGGAGGGAAATGAAGAGAAAAACAATGCAGGCAAGAGGAATAAGATAAATGAATACGATGAGGAAGAATCAAGGGCGCGGAAGACACTCGAAATTCGCTGGCCACGCGGCATTCACACGAACGCCCGAGCCACATGATCGATTGACGTGCGCATATCAAAAAAAGGAAAATAAAAATGAAAAGCGAAGACGCAAATCCACGCTGAATTCACTCTTAGCACCGGCGAAACCAAAACATCCAGAGCCGACAGACGACCCACGACCCACGAGGGCCGCGCTGGTCAGGACATCTGCAGGGCAGAGCAATGGTGCTGACGGCATCAACCCGGGAGCTTCGGTTTCGGCGCTGGGGTCGGCCAGCTGCGCCAAGCGTTAAACCGTGGTCGCGCACCTCGTAGTGACCCTGCGTGGCCTCTGGGGTGGCGCACTGCAGAGCATGGGAAGACGCCCGGTCGAGCGTCCCTGTGACGCACCGAGGGCACGATATCTTGACGTCGATGGCAGGGGGCCAACCCGAACGCGCACCGCGGTGAGGTACTCTCCAAAGCCGAGGGTGGGGCCGTGCGCCAGATTGAGTGCCCAGAGCCAGTCGTGGTTCACGGAAGGGTCCGGGAATTTCCGCATTGGGCGGCAGTTAGCATCCCGTCCAGCCGTGGGAAGGTCGGCGGACAAGTTGTTGGCCGCGACGCCGTCCGCCACGGCGCACAGGCGAGACTGCAGACGGCCGTCTGGGGCCCGCTCGGGGTCCTCCGCGCCAGCCAGCAGGACGAGGCCGTCCCCAGCCAGAGCCAGCAGCGCGCCCTCTGCCCGACTTGACGTTCCCCCCGACCGCGCGCCGCCCCGGCAACGGCGGCCTCGGCGTCGAATGCCCGCAGCCACATGTCCACGCTGGAGCTGCGGGTGACGATCTGGCCGTCGCCCATGAACCACACGCCGGCGAGCTGCAAGTTGCCCTGGGCTCTGGTGCGGGCCACGACCCTCGCAAGGGCCAAAGCGCACAACTTTGGCCCAGAGGGATCGCTCTGCTCGGCGCCTCGGTCCACGAGCAAGGACCACCTACATGGCAAAATGATAGTGGCAGGTTCGCGATGCATCCACGAGGTCCAGGGCAGGAGGGCGGGGAGCTCCTCGGCGATGGCGTCGCGGATGTAAGCCCACTCCAAGGAAGGGAACGCGTTCTTCAGGTCCAAGTCGATTACCGCCAACGGGTTGCCGTCGAAGTGACCGCAACCCTCCTCCAGGAGCTCCTCCAGCACAGCGCGCCTACGGACAAGCGCGTCTGTGCCAGCCGGCACGCCTGCCCCGAACCGCCGCGCAGCTGGGCATCGCGCCTGGATGGCTTTGCGCTGCGCGTGGATCAACCTCTCGGCAACAGCTCTGCGCCAAAACTCCCCCGCCCTGATGGGGCGTGGAGCGGCGCCCCGCTTCTTGCGGAAGAACACCAAGCGGCTCTCCAGTATCCAGCGAGCTCCGCGCGGCCGCCGGCCGCCTCCTTGAGAAGACGGCGATGGCTCGCAGCAGCCGGGAAGCGGTCCGGCGGTCACGGCAAGCGGACAGCTCCCGGAGGTGTTCTGAGCGGGCGCCGGAGGGCCCAGGAGGCGCCCCAAGGAGCACCAGCAGGGCCCCACGAGGGGCCCAAGAGAGGCAACTCGAACTGACATTCCGAGCCCTCCGCCCCCAGAGGACCCCCGAGACCGCCCGCAGGCGCCCAAGAAACTCCCTAGAGACCCGAAGAGGCCCGCAAGAAATCAAAAAGAGCCCCCCAGAGGCCCCACAAGAGGCCCCAAAAGAGGCCCCAAAAGAGGCCCAGGGGCCCCCAAGAAGCCACCCAAAGCCTCACCCGTCGACTTCATCACTCTTCTGAGGGTCGGCGGAATGGCGTAAGCCTGTTGAATGTACCTCTCCCGGTCTGCGTTCTGACTAAACTTTCGAGGCGAATCCAGCCGGTGACGAGGGGCGGATAGCAGTATGGGTAATATGTTCCTCCTGACTCCCCCCTGTCGTCCGCCCCGAGCCTCGCAACTCCCTGGCCGCCGCGGCGATGTCCCCCGAGCGAGCGTTCACACAGGAGACCAGCCAGGCCTTCTGTATCCTGATGCGCTCGCCAGCGCCCGCGGCCTCGGCCTCCTTCAGGACGTTCCCCCCGGTGACGAGCGGCGACAGGGTGCTCATGTCGAGGCGGAAGCGCTTGGCATACTGTGCGTCCTCATCCGCCGCAAGTGGGTTGGACCTAGAAAACCCAAAATTCGCTAGGGACTGGCTGCCCCCCAGAACGACGGAAGCCTTTCGGGAACCCTCACGAAACCCTCAGAAAATCCTCCTGGAACCCATCCCGGAAGGTTTTCGGACGGTTTTGGAAGGGTTTCGACTGATCCGGAAAATGCCGGGAGCCCGGAAACCCAAAACCCACCGAAATCGGCCTGGAACCAATAAGCAGGAACCCGGGAACCCGGAACCGGGAACCCGGGAACCCAGCCTGCTACCAAAATCGGCGGGAAACTTTCGACAAATCTTTCAACTTCCGCTAGGACCTCTTCAGTGAAATGTGCAAGCACTGATTGGGGAAAACCCAGAATCCCCAGCGAACCCTGGACTTTCTAAGGTTGGACTCGAGGTCGTCCACCAGCCGCCGCGCCCTCTCCGCGCGAGAAGCGGCGCTGGCCAGCGGCGCAGGGGCGCCGGGCCGTGGGCGCACCACCGCGCCGGCGCGGCTGGACCACCACCTGGGCGACGAAAATAAGCAGGTCTTGCGCGAGATGGCATGGCGACCTTGCGCGGTGGGCTACGCGGGCCGCCAGCGCGGCACGCCACGTGGGCAACGAAGGCGCTCACGCGCGACCTTGCGCGCACAGCCTACGTGCCCGTGTCGGTGAAGACGACCCCGTTTTTTTTTGCGTCGCTCACCTGAGGACGTGCTCGTCGATGGGGAACAGGCCGCAGAGCGCCCCCCACTCCTGAACGTGCCCAGGGGCACACAAAGAAGCAAACACAAATCCCAGGACTCCCCCTTTTTCCATGTTTTCTGGATGCCAGTCTCCCATCCCCACCTCCCCATACGTTCCCATGCTTTCCTGGGAATCGACGTTGATTTGTGTCTGTGTTGCTTTCCCTCCTGAACTCCGTAGACATGTTGGCGATGGTGAGGCGGTCCTCGATGCCGAGGGATCCCACGCCCTGCCCGCCAAACTCGACGGCGTGGTTGAGCACCTCGTCCTGATTCAGGACGCCGCACAGGGCGATGATCACGTCCTTCCCGGAGCACCCTGGGGGCAGACGGCCGACCAAATCCACCCGGGCGATGGGGGGCACCCGCCACCACGTGCGGCCAGTGGTCCAAATTGACGCGGCGTCTGTCCGAACCACTGGGGTCCCAAGGCAGCCCACTCCGCCATACATGTTGGAATGGGAGTCCGAGGCCACGCACAAGCTGCCGGGCTCCGCGTACAGCTCCTCGACCATCACCTGATGCCCGATGCCGCGCCCGGCAGGGTAGAAGTCTACGTCGTGCTGCCGCGCGAACTCCTCGATGGAGGCGTACCGCGCGAGATTGGACGCACTGGTGTTCTGGATGTCGTGGTCCAGGGCGAACACCATTTGTCGCGGATCCCACGGCCGGCCCGCGCCGAGGGACCGGAACTTCTGGATCACGGCGTGGCTGTTGTCGTGCGTCATGACTCGCCAGGGGCGCACGGAGATGAAGTCTCCGGTCTGCACTACCTCATAGCAAGGCGCACGGGCAGACAGAGAAACATGGACACTCGAACGCACACACACGCGAACGCAAACACACAATTGGCATACACACATACACACATGCACGCACACTTTCGGACTCACGCCGCTTGGGGAAAAAAACGCACGAGCGCTAAAAGCTGCACGCCCAGCGAAAGCGCTGGGCTAACAGAAAGAAGCATGAAGCACCAAGAAACCATACAAGACAACCTGAAAGCCGGCCAGCCTAGTTAGGACGACAAGGGGCCAGCAACACAAAGGCTAGGAGGGCCAAGCAAAGCGAAGAGAAGCGAGCAGCGAGGAGCGACAGCCAACACCCCAAGGAAAAGGAGTGGAGACGGACAGGACACGAGACGGACAGCGGGTCGACCGGAAGGGCAATCCGAGGGGAAGATGGGAGGCATCACGCCACAAAGGCAAGGAAAGAAACGAAGATGGAAAGGAGGAAACAGCCGAGGACGGAGGCGGGGAGGAAAGGAGGCACAAACAGAAAGGCAAAAGGTGGAGAAACAACCACACATTCACACACGCACGAACACACACACACAAACACAACACACACGCACGCACGCAACACGCGACACGCACACGCACACGCACACGCACGCACACACACAAACATAGCCCACGCATGACGGCACTGACGAACACGAGCGCGCAAACGGTTTCAACAGAGACACACACACATACACACGTCGCACACAAGGACCAAGGATGCACGAGTGCGCGCGATAACACACGTAAGGGTATCCACGCAAGAAGGGCACTTACGGGATCACGCAGTGGTTGCACCCAACCGAGCACAGGCACGCAATCCGCCAGCTTGAAGGAAGGGCGGGCAACCGCAGCTTTCGGTCTGGGGCCCGCGCCGGCTCGACGGAGCTGCCGGGGGCGGCCACGACATGCCTCCCCGCGACATGAGTCATTGCAGTCGCCATCGCCGATGTCGTCGATGTCGCCGCCGTCGTCGCGGCGCATGGAGTCAGCGCCACAACAGATATCCTCCGTCTGGCACGGTCGTGCGGCTGACCTCTCCTCCAGTGGCCCACTCTGCTGTGGATGCCCGTCAACCCTTTGTCGGCGCAGGTACGCGGAACAGTGGATCCCACTGCACTTAGCATTCGGGGAATTGGAGCGGCACGGAACGGAGATAATACTGGGCACCGGAGCAACCGTGCCCTTTTTGGCTTGGCGCAGGAGGCCGTAGTCATAGCTTCAGATCGCATGGGCGTAGCAGGTGTGGCTGGAGTATTATTAGTCAAAGCGGCGCAAGCAGAAAAACTGAGTGAAAAGTGGCACTCGATGGGTAAAGAGGGGGTGGGGACGGGGGAGCAACACACACAGACCAGGTCGTGCTGCTGTGCGAGCATCCGCACACTCTCTTGGAGGAGCTTAAATCATCATGAACCTAAACTTCTGGAGGTCCGCGCAGATTTCGTGGATCGGCGCTGGACCCCCTCCCTGGCGCGCTGAGCGCGCCAGGGGCAGCGCTAGAAGCGTGGCCAGCGGGGCCCAACGCCAATCCAAGAAATCTGCGAGGAGCTGCTAACGTTGATGTTCAAGCACTGTTTGATATTCGATTTCGCCAGCTTCCCTCTCGGCCGAGAGGTACATCGCGCCTACATGTTTCGTTCGCGAATTCGGCTCTGTCGCCTCCGTAGTAGTGACGGTGGAGCTTCTTCTGGACTTCCACGGCTTGGTGGTGGTGTGCGAGGAGAACGCCATTTACACTCGAAGATGCTCTGATCGGCCTGAAAATGTTCACGTGTCCCCGTTCAGTTTACATCGCCTGGTGGCGGTGCCCGATGAAAACACATTTCTTCAGGTCGCGCTGGACGGGCTGTCCCTGCCCAGCAAAAACGGCGGAAGCATACTGGCGGACGATGTTCGGTCCGACCTAACAATTTCAGGTCGAGCTACAAGTGCCGAGGTGCCCCCCCCCATGTGTGACACGATGCACTGCGATGACGTTCCAGATTGAGACCCCACTTTGCGACTATACCAATAAAAGGGGCCCGAACGTACCTGAAAATAGTAGCCGAAGAAAGGGTTGCGCTCCGTCGGGCCACCAGGGTGGCCCATGATATTGCACGGGGCCGCGTGCGCCTTAACGGGGGCTCGTGCACCTTACTGCATCTGCCGCTGCTCGCTCACTCACGGCGTGCATGCGCGGCGATGCTGTGTTGACGCTGTCATGCGTGCATTATTGATTCGCGAAACTGTCGAGGAGACATGCAGCTTCGTTTGCTATTTGAAATGTCCCCACTTGCCCCACTTGCCAAGAAGGGCCCACTTGCCCCACTTGCCACTCTTGCCCTACTTGCCCCAAGTGGGGCAAGTGGGGCCCAGGGGCCCACTCAACTCCAGGCAAGTGGAGCCAAATGCCCCCCAAAAAATTCTTTGAGCCTGCGCGGGCGGGGAGGGGCAAGTGGAGCAAGTGGGACCGAGCGGGGCAAGTGCGAAACATTTCAAGTAGCGGTTCCTGCCGCTGTCTCGCGCAGGTGCCCGCCCCCCCCCCCTTTGAATACCTGTGGGGCCTCCGATCCTACCTCCTCTGACCCCTCGTCCCCCGATCCCTCCTCCTCCGATCCCTCCTCCTCGGACACCTCCTCCTCCGACTCCTCTTCTGACCCCTCCACCTCCGATCTCTTCTCCTCTGATCCCTCCTCATACGCCCACCTCCTCGGATCCCTTCTCCTCCGACTCCTCATATGACTCCTCCTCCTCCTCATCCGATCCCTCTTCTAGTCCCGGCTCCTCCGATCCCTCCTCCTCTGATCCTTTTTCCTCCGGCCCCTCCTCCTCCTCCGACTCCTCATTCGACCCCTCCTCCTCTGATCCTTCCTCATCCGATCCCTCCTCCTCCGATCCCCTCTCCCCTGATACCTCCCCCTGCGATTCCTACTCATCTGATTCCTCCTCCTCCGATCCCTCCTCCTCTGATCCCTCCTCCTCCGACCCCTCCTCCTCTGATCCCTCTTCCTCCGGTCCATCCTCCTCCGACATTTCCTCCGACCCCACCTTCTCCGAATCCTCATCTGACCCCTCCTCCTCCGACCCCTCCTCTTCTGACCCCTCCTCCTCCGATCCCTACTCATCTGATCCCTCTTCCTCCGATCCCTCCTCCTCCGACCCCTCCTCCTCCGATCCCTATTCATCTGACCCCTCCACCGCTGACCCCTCCTCTTCTGGCCCCTCCTCCTCCGACTCTTACCCCGCCGACCCCTCCTTTTCCAAATCCTCATCCAGCCCCTCCTTCTCCTCCGATCCCTCATCCTCCGATCCCTCATCCTCCGATCCCTCCTACTCCAATATCTCCTCCTCTGACCTCTTCTCATCCGATCCCTCCTCCTCTGATCCCTCCTCTTCCTCCTCATCCTCCACCGACTCCTCCTTGTCTTCCCCCCCCCCTCCTCCTCCTGCTCCTCCTCCTCCTCGAAGACCGTTCAGGGGGGCGCGTCATCATCCTCATCCTCCTCCTCCTCCTCCTCCTCCTCCTCCTCCTCCTCCCTCCTCATCATCATCATCATCATCATCATCATCATCCTCATCATCCTCATCCTCATCCTCATCATCATCATCATCATCAGCACCATCATCATCATCAGCATCATCATCATCATCATCATCAACATCACCACCATCATCATCATGATCATCATCATCGTCGTCATCATCATCGTCATCATCATCAGCATCATCGTCGTCATCATCATCGTCATCATCATCATCAGCGTCATCATCGCCACCATCATCATAATCAGCACAAGCATCATCATCATCATCTTTATCATCTTTGTCATCATCATCATCGTCATCATCATCATCATCATTAACCTCATCATCATCACCATCATCATCATTATCACCATCACCATCGGTTTAACATCATCATCATCGTCATCATCACCATCAGCAGCATCATCGTCATCGTCATCGCCATCGTCATCGTCATCGTCAGCATCATCATCATCATCATCAGCATCAGCAGCATCATCATCAGCATCATCATCATCATCATTCATTACAATTCCTCCTCCTCCTCCTCCTGTTCCGCCTTCCTCTTCCTTTTCCTGTTCCTCCCACTCGCATTGCCCTCGAAAACAAAGCCGGGAGAGGTTAGAGCGACGAAGGTTGCCCACACCAGGGCCATATTGGGCACCCCTCCTCATCGAGCAGACATTTGGTAGTTAGCTAGGATCTGCATAAACATCATGATGCTGCTGGCCTGCAAGGAAAAAGCGTGCACCTGGAGGGGGCCCGAGTCCGGGTCGCGGTGGCCATGGACACACCAGCGCGACTTGGCGTCGGGTGCCTGGAACGTTCCCTCAACTGGTTCCCAGCGACTGACCATCCCACTGGAAATCATGCGCTCCGGCTGAGATCTCCTCGCGATATCCGCTTGAGAAGGCGGAGCGATCTCAGTCGCCCCCCCTCTCGTCATGGACTGCCGCTCCTTTTCATCTGACGCCGCAAACTTGGCTCTCTCGCCCAGGCTCAGTCTCCACAGACAGACCGCCCCCCCCCCCCCCCACCCCCACTTGCAGCCAGGACATCGTCGCGATCGTCGCCGCCGTCGTCGAAGCTGAAGTCGCCCTGGACAGACCTGGCCTGGGCCCCACCATCACCACGGAGAAACAAATCCACTCCCTCCTCGTCCTCCAGGGGGGGGGGGAAGCGCGCGCGGGCGCTGGAGAGCGGCTCCGCCGCTGTGACCTGCGGTCGATCTCGTCCACCAACTCACTCGGCGTCGGGTCTCCCGGCCATCGGTGGCCGGAGGGCTGGAGGCGGCTGGCCCCCCCGGGCGGCTCGGATTCGCCCGCCCGGGGCCGCTTGGGTTCTGGGCCCGACCCGTCCTCGGGAGGAGTGATCTCTGGGGGTCTCCGAAAGCATAAAAGAACATCATTCGCCACACGACTCCGAATCATGTTCTCTCCCCC